TTTTGTTCCTGATTTACAGCATCCGCAGTTCTTTTGGTTTTTATTTAGTAAGGAATTTACATTTGTCTTCACTAATCTTTTTCTTTCTACATAGTTTTTGCATTCTGCATTTATCTTCCTTAAATGTTTACTCACATATTCTATTTTCCTCCTCTTAATCAATCTCTTGGTCCTCCTTTGCTGACTTGGGCTTTCTATTTTTACTGTCAAATTTATATGACTCCTCTTGGGATCTAATACTTTTGTTAACCATGGTTAGGCCACTTTGTCTATTGTGTTATTTCCCAAAAGGAATACATAACTGCTATAATGCCTTAAGTATTGACCATTCCGTATCCAATGTCATGTCTTCTAATGAAGCTACCCAGTTTCTCGCAGTCAACTCACCCTTCATACTTCTGTAGTTTCCTCTCTTTAGATTTAAAACCCTGATTTCAAATTCACTTTGGATTGCAATGAAGAATTCTATGATGTAATGGTCGTATTTTCCTAAATGATCTCTTGCAACAAGGTTATTAATTTGGGGCAGTGCGGTGGCACAGTGCTCAGAACCTGGGTTCAATTCCAGCCTTGAGCACCTGTCTGTGTGGCGTTTGCATGTTCTCCCCATGTCTACGTGGGTTTCCTCCTACAGTCCAAAGATGTGCACATTAGTTGGATTGGCCATGCTAAATTGCCCTGTAGTATGCAGGCTAGGTAGGTTAATCAAGGTAAATGTGGGGTTACAGAGATGTGGTGGGATGCTGTTTGGAGGGTTGGTGAAGATTCATTGGGCTGAATGGCCTCTATCTTCACTATAGGGATTCTATAATTCCAACTTCTTCACTTTTCACAAAAACAAATTTGGGATAGCCTGTACCCTAGTTGGTTCCTCAACATACTGGCCTCAAATACCATCTTGTATACATTCCAGGAATTTAACTGCTAATGTGGTTTGCCCAGTCTATATGTAGATTAAATCACCCATGATTACTGTAGCATCTTTGTCGCATGCATCACTAATTTCCTGTTGAATATCATCCCCTGTCTCACCCCTACTGGAGGCCTATAGACAATCCCACTTATGGTTTCTGCCCCTTGTTTCTTCTTAGCATGACCGAGACTGATTCCATATCTATATTTCCTGCACTATTACATCTCTCACTAACAATATCATCCCACCTGCTTCTGAATACCCTTAGATGTTCAGTTCTTTTTTAACATTCACAATCATACCATTATGTTTGCAACTGTTTGCACTGTTAATTTGTCTACCTTATTACAAATAGTACCTTTAGACATTTATTTGACATTTCCACACATTTTTCTTTGTACTGTTTCCCTGTTTGCTGCTAGCCCTTATTTTCTCTGCATCCACTTTTGCTTTCTATTTTTCTACCTTTCATTTCCATTTCTGGTTTCTTCACTCTTTTCTCCCAACACAGATTCCCTTTCCCCTGCCACTAAATTCTGCTTAAATCCTCCCTCACAATATTCACAAAAGCCCTGTGTGGATATTGGTCCCAGCCCTGCTGAGGGGTAACCCATCCAGCTTGTAGAGATGCCATCCTTCCCAGAATCAGTCCCAATTTCTCAAAAGTCTAAATTCCTTCCTCTGACACCATCCGTCTAGCTGTGCATTGATTCGGTCTGCTCTCCTATCCCTGATCTCATGAACATGAAGCTTTGGGAGTAATCCTGAGATTATTCCCTTTGAGGTACAGTTTTTTAATTTCCTAGCTCCTTAATTTCTTGGCTCCTTATATTCTGCTTGCAGGACACCATCCTTTTCACCTATATTGTTGGTACTGGCATGGACCATGACCTCTAGCTGTTTACCCTATCCTTTCAAAATGTCCTGCAGCTGCTCAGTGACAGCCTTGATCCCGTTACCAGGGAGGAAACATAGCATCCTAGTGTCATGTCTACAGCCTCAGAAAAGTCTGTCTCTTCCCCTTATGATAGAATCCCCTATCATATTGTTCTAAAACTTTTTATTTCTCAACGCCCCATACCGCTGAGCCACTCCTTGTGCTAATGACTTGATTCTCACTGCACGTCTCTGAGAAACTGTATCCTAGCAGTAGCCAAAATGGAAACTCTGTTAAAGAAGGAAATTGAAGCTGGGTCATTAACTATACTCGAGTTTGAGATATACGGATTTTTAGTCAGTTAGGGAATCAAGTATTACGCGGAAAAAGCAGGAAAGTGGAATTGAGGATTATCAGATCATAATGTAATAGATTAGATTATCATAATCTAATTGTATGACAGAGCAAACTCAATGTGTCAAATGGCCTATTTCTGTTCCTAATACTTATAATCTTATGTCCCCAGGGAACTCCTGCAATACCTGCTGGTGTTTATACTCTGCCTGCTAGTCCCCATTCCATTTCTGCGTGTCTATTCTTTACTCATGGTGTGACTACCTTGTTCTACATGTTCTCCATGTAGACCTCAGTCTTATGGATGTTCCACAGGGACTCCAGCCTCTTCTCCAGATCTGAATAGTGGATTTCCAAGAGGTACAGCTGGAGACACTGCCAGCACATGGTCACCCAAAGCACTGGAAATGTTTCTAATTTCCCACATTACACAGATGGAGCATTACACTGAGCCCCAGCTGCCTTGCTGTGACATACCCTTAAATTAGTCCCTTTACGTTTACTTCTTAAGAGTTCAGGGTATTTACAGGAAAAGACAGAGTAGATAAAGATAAACTATTTTCCACTATTTGGGGATTCTAGAACTAGAGGGCATTATCTGAGATTGGGGCCAGACCATTCAGGATAGACGTTAGGAAGCACTTCTACACACAAAGGATGGTAGAAGTTTGGAACTCTCCTCTACAAATAGTAGTGATGATGGATCAGTTGTTAATTTTAAAATTTAAAGATAATTTTTTATTAAACAAAGGTATATGGAGTTAGGCCACAGATCAGCCATGACCTCATTGAATGGCAGAATGGGCTTGAGGGGCTGAATTGCCTACTCTTCTTCCTATGTTCTTAAGAGATATTAAATACTAGGGGCCTTGTTCTATCATTAATACTTTAAATACTCTTAATCTAACTAAAGTCAAATTTTACTGTAAACACTCATCAGTAGAATTACTCACCTGATTTTACTTATTAAGGTCATACCTTATCTCATGCTGTTCTTCCCACTATGTCTCTGCTGAGTATTTTTGCAATTCAATATATGCCTGAAAAGAAAGAATTTGCAGGATTACAGTGAAAGAGCAAAGAATTGGAACAAATTAGTTTGCATTGTCTCAAAGCTTAGGGATGATGGGCTGAGAGGGCTCATTCTATTCTGTATTAGTTTATAAAACTCTGTATTAATCACCAGGCTCATCTAAAATGCTTCAGACATTCTTATAAGGGGCCTTTAATTTCAATGTTTACAGCTATTCTCAGCATGGATCTCAATTGCTGATGAACAATTTTGTTAAATTCCCTGTCCATTTCTGGCTCACACTGATTGTTCTTATTAACCATGACTTTTCCTTGTGAATTTTCAAACTTTTCTTCACCTGAACTCTTTCTCCACCAACCCTCCACCAGTTGTAGAATTTGGCAGGACACTGACCCCAAATCCATTTAGGTTCAGCCCATCCCAAAGAACTACAATGTATTTCCAGAATACTGGTGCCACTGCCCATGAATTGAAACCCCATCTGCTAAACACCACTCTTTTGAGCCATAGATTTAATTCTGTAATAAAAACCGAAAGAACTACGGATGCTGTAAATCAGGAACAAAAACAGAAGTTGCTGGAAAAGCTCAGCAGGTCTGGCAGCATCTGTGAAGAAAAAGTCAGAGTTAACGTTTCGGTCCGGTGACCCTTCCTTGGTATAATTCTCTATTCTGTTTGTCCAAATGCTTCATGTAACCATCCAGAGATGATTGCCTTTCATGTGTACTCACTAATTCTGTTTATTGATTTGGATCTGGGGACTGAATGTCTGGTGGCTAAATTGGCTGGTAATACCAAAATGAATAAGAAAGTAAGTTGACAAGAGGAGTTAAAGACTGCAAAGAGAAAGAGCCGAGATGGTCATATCACTGAACTAGCAATCCCACAATGGCAAGTGTGATTTTTATTCATCAAAAAGGAGTTACAATAAGAAATTACAAACCTATGTGGTTCACGGTCCTATAGGAAAGAAAATCTGCCATCTTTGTCTGCTTTAGCTCACATGGGACTCCAAACGCAGAGCAACTGAAGCAGTCCATGTCCAAATGTCAAAAGACCTGAACATGTGCCAAGTAACGTTTGTACTGCAAAATGCTAGTCAATGACCATCTCCAACAAAAGAGAGTCTGGCCAACAACCCCTGATATTCAGTGGCATAACCATCACTGAATCCTCCACTTACATTGACTCAATTGGACTAGCAATGTAAGTGGAGTGTAGGTCAGAGACTAGAAATCATGCAACGGGTAACTCACCTCCTGACTCCTTATAGCCTGTCCACTATCTACAAGGCACAAGTGCAATGGTATCTCCATCTGCCTGGATAAGTGCAGCACCAACAACACTCGAGAAGCTTGACACCATCCAGGACAAAGCAGCCTGCTTGATTGGCACCACATCCACAATCTTCAAAATTCAGTCCCTTTATCACTGATGCACAGTGGCAGCAGTGCATGCAATCACTGGAGAAAAGTGTACTGATAAAAATGAACGAGGGAAACTCATGAGGCCAAAGGCCAATCCATTCCCTGGTCGCTCATATATTAATGGAAGTAGGTATGGAGATAGATTATTCAAAGTAATTGTCAAAGCGTCTTTAGACTACGGAAAAGTCGCAGAAGATTAAAAAACTGCCAATGTAACATCTTTAATCAAACAGGGAGAAAGACAAAAATCCGGTCACTAAATAGCTTAACATTTGTCATTAGGAAAACGTTAAAGTCAGCTATGAAGTAGTAGAGCATTTAGAATATATCATTTAATCAAGTAAAGGCAGAATGACTTCATTATAGGGGAGATTATGCCTGACAAATTTATCAGAATTCTTTGTGGACCTAACAAGCAGATTAGGTAAAGGGGAGCAAGTAGATATAATATATTTGAATTTCCAAAAGGTGTCCAATATGGTACCTTACACAAGCCAACTTAATAAGAGCCTATTGTATTGGAAGTAGACTATTAGCACAGATAGAGGATTGGCTAATTAATTGAAGACGGAGATGGGGGTAAATGGAGCATTTTCAGAATGGCAACCTATGACTAAGAGAATACCACAATATATACTAATGACTTGGATAATGGAAGTGAATGTACTATTGCCAGGTTTGCGAACGATGCTAAAATAGGTGGGGAAGGCAAATGGTGAGGATTCTGGGGAAAATGCTTGAATCTATCATTAAGGAAGAAATAGCAAGACATCTGGATATAAATTGTCCCATTGGGAACACCCAGCATGGGTTCATGAAGGTAGGTCATGTTTAACTAATTTGGTAGAATTCTTTGAGGACATTACTTGCATGGTGGACAATGGGGAACCTGTGGATGTGGTGTATCTGGATTTCCAGAAGGCATTTGACAAGGTGCCACACCAAAGGCTGCTACATAAGATAAAGTTGCACGGCATTACAGGTAATGTATTGGCATGGATAGAGGATTGGTTGACCAGTAGAAAGCAAAGAGTAGGGGTAACTGGGTGTTTTTCTGTTTGGCGGTCAGTGGCTAGTGGTGTGCCTCAAGGATCAGTGTTGGAACCGCAATTGTTTACAATTTACATAGATGATTTGGAGTTGGGGACTAAGTGTGGTGTGTCAAAATTTGCAGATGACACTAAGGTGAGTGGTAGAGCAAAGTGTGCAGAAGACACTGAAAGTCTGCAGAGGGATATAGACAGTCTAAGTGAGTGGGCAAAGGTCTGGCAGATGGAGTACAATGTTGATAAGTGTGAGGTCATCCATTTTGGTAGGAATAACAGCAAAATGGACTATGTTTTAAATGGTAAAAAATTGCAGCACGCTGCTGTGCAGACGGACTTGTGTGTCCTTGTGCATGAGTCGCTAAAAGTAGGATTGCAGGTGCAGCAGGTAATTAAAAAGGCAAATGGAATTTTGTCTGCCATTGCTAGAGGGATGGAGTTTAAAAACAGGGAGGCTATGCTGCAGCTGTATAGGATCCTGGTGAGGCCACACCTGGAGTACTGTGTGCAGTTTTGGTCTCCTTACTTGAGAAGAGATATACTAGCACTGGAGGGGGTGCAGAGGAGATTCACTTGGTTGATTCCAGAGTTGAGAGGGTTGGATTATGAGGAGAGACTGAGTAGACTGGGATTATACTCATTGGAATTGAGAAGAATGAGGGGAGATCTTACAGAAACATATAAGATTATGAAGGGAATAGATAAGGTGGAGGCAGGGAGGTTGTTTCCGCTAGCAGGTGAAACTAGGACTAGAGGGCATCGCCTCAAAATAAAGGGAAGCAGATGTAGGACTGAGGTCAGGAGGAACTTCTTCACCCAAAGGGTTGTGAATCTGTGGAATTCCCTGCCCAGTGAAGCGGTTGAAGCTACCTCGCTGAATGTTTTTAAGTCAAGGCTAGATAAATTTTTGAACAGTAAAGGAATTGAGGGTTATGGTGAGTGGGCGGGTAAGTGGAGCTGAGTCTCAAAAAGATCAGTCATGATCTTATTAAATGGCGGGGCAGGCTCAAGGGGCCGGATGGCCTACTCCTGCTCCTAGTTCTTATGTTCTTATGACACAAATATTTAGTTAAGTTAGTGGGCAAAAATTCTCAGAGAATATAATGTGGCAAAAAATGAATCTGTGGGATTCACTACCCAAAAGTGCAGTAGACGCCAGGATACTGAATAAGATTAAGCCAATTATCGACAGGTTTTTAATAGTAATGAGTGAAAGGAATATGGGATACAGGCAGGAAAATGGAATTGAGGGCGAAATTAGATCAGTCATGATTGTATTAAATTTTCAAGATGCTGAATTTCCTACTCCTGCCCCTAGTTCTTATGTTCTTATGCATTTTGGGAGGAAGAATAGAGGAGCTCAGTATTATTTAAATAAAGACTACAGAAAGCTACAGCGCAGAGGATTTGGGAGTCTTCGTACATAAATGACAAAAAGCTAGCACACAAGTTCAGGGGGTAATAGGGAAGATAAATGAAATATTGCCCTTTATTTCAAAGCAGTTGTGTACAAAAATAGGGCAATCTTGCTAACATATACAAAGCACTGGTTAGACCACAACTGAATTACTATGAACAATTTTGGGCTCCTTATCTAAGCAAAAATATACTAGTATTGGAGACAGTCCAACGAAGGTGAAAAGATGAATTTCAAGCTGAAATTACAAGCTGAAATGTGGTATAGTAAAAATGGTTTATTATTTATCCATCTCTCTACTTAATCTTGTCTGCGATCTATTTAATTGTTTTCATGATTAAATGGGCAATCTCTCCTTTTGAATCCAAACATAATTAGTCCAAGCCCAGTAAGTTTATGTGCCTTTTCAGCAGACTCTATGTTGATTACTTTTGATGTAAGGCAGTGTCACATTGTTCGTGCCCAAACCATAGAGAAGGTGAATGTACCCATAATTTTATTGCAGATTGCCATGTGTGGAATCAATGGACGAAAGCTTGACATTGTTTGTTTAGTCACGTCTGTCAAACATTACAATAAGGAGCAATAATCAACATCAAATCTTCCTTTCTTTTTATGTTCTAATCTTCCAAAATCATAAACTTACCATGTGTCTCAGAAGGTAGGAGAATTTCTTCAAGATTGTAGAGGCCACTTTGATTCTGCCATGGTATATTGTATTAATAACACAGAAAGAGGCCATTCAGCCTGACAGATCTATGCCTGTGTTTAAGCTCCACAGGAACTTCCTCATGCCCTACTTCATCTCACCATATCAACATATTGCTCTATTCTTCTTTTCCTTTCTCCTAAAATACTGCTATGCTTTTTGCCTCAGCCACTCCATGTGGTCGTGAGTTCCACATTCTCACCACTCTGTGTGTTCTTCCTGTGCTCTGGTAAATACCAGGAGCTCAAGCTGCTGTCCCTTGGAGCTTCAGTTGGTGTTGGTTTTGCTCCGCAGGCAATATCCCGGTCTTCGTTAATATTTATCTCTGTAAGCCGATAACTCCTCAGCGCTGCACACAGCCTACTGATTTGAAAACTGTGTGAGTTCCAGAACGCTTTGTCATTGCAGGCATGGCAGAGAGCTGGCCTGGCTTCCATTCACAGACAAGTACCAGCAGCTGTTGTCAGAGCTCTCTAAGGCGTCCTGTGTTGTGAAAGCCTTGGGGAGGCCTGATTGTGAGCTCATGCGCTAATTAATTTGTTTGCTTATGTGATGATTAACCCTCTCCTGATTTTGGTACTTTTAATAGCTTGGGAGATCTTTACTCCATAGGCTGCAGAGACACACCCACACTCTCTCTCTCTCTTTCTCTCTCTCTTACATAGTCACAAAAGAATATATACCTTACCATCTGTATGTACAAAAAAAATCACCCTACAATGTCATGTGGCACCTTTATTCAAAAAGAGAAGGAAACAACAACCATGTAATTGTAGGTCAGTTGGTTTAACATCTGACATCGGGCAATGTTTGCATCTAAAAGGATATAATAAGAATATGATAGCAGAGCATTTGGCACTTCACCTATCGTTGAACTCCAGAGTTTCAGACCGATTGATTGGGCTTACAGAATTGGAAGACTGCCCTCAATAGGATAACAAATGCAAATGGAGGTGGCCAACTTACACCCTTAGTTACTCACTTTTATACTATTGTTATAACTACAAAATTAAAGTGGGTATCTGCCAGAAATAGAGCTAAAGTCTGGTTTAGTTGGGTCCTCAATTTCCACCCAAGATTCCTAGATGGCCAGTTTGTAGGGGATTTTCCACCTGCCCCTTATGGAACCTGATGGGGATGGTCTCAACAGCGAGTCAGTGCATTGTGGCCCCATGCCCAAAGTCAGGGCAGGCTTACTAGTAGTTTTGGGACCCAGCTGAAGTTTGAGACCAGAATTGAGGCCTGATCACCATCATCAATTTGTTGCCACAGAGGGCCTACCAAACACTATCTCAGGATTTCTTATTGGAATTCCCAGAATGTTTGTGTGGCAAAAGCCAGAGACATTGACACAACCTTAGTCATCACCATGGTATACATGGATTTAAGTAAGGCGTTTGATAAAGTTCCCATGGTAGGCTCATGCAGAAAGTAAGGAGGCATGGGATAGCAGGAAATGTGGCAGATTGGATTCAGAATTGGCTGACCCTTAGAAGACAAAGGGTGGTAGTGGACGGAAAATATTCAACAAGGTGCTCGGTTACGAGTGGTGTACCACAAGGATCTGTTCTGGGTCCTTTTCTATTTGTGACTTTTGTAAATGGTTTGGATGTAAGAGTGGAAGGGTGGATTAGTAAGTTTGCGGATGATACGAAGGTAGGTCGAGTTGTTTATAGTGCGGAGGGCTGTTCTAGGTTACATAGGGACATTGATAGGATGCAGAGCTGGGCTGAGAAGTGGCAGATGGAGTTTAACCCTGAAAACTGTGAGGTGATTCATTTTGGAAGGACAAACTTGAAAGCAGAATACAGGATTAACGGAAAGATTCTTGGCAATGTGGCGGAGCAGAGGGATCTTGGGGTTCATATCCACAGTTTCCTGAAAGCTGCCACCCAGGTGGATAGAGTTGTTAGGAAGGCGTATGGTGTGTTAGCTTTCATTAATAAAGGGATTGAGTTCAAGAGCTGTGAAGTTGTGCTCCAGCTATACAAAAGCCTGGTTTGGCCACATCTGGAGTATTGTGTCCAGTTCTGGTCGCCTCATTACAGGAAAGATGTGAAAGCATTGGAAAAGGTGCAGAGGAGATTTACCAGGATATTGCCTGAAATGGAGGGAAGGTCTTACGAGGAAAAGTTGAGATAGTTAGGGCTTTTCTCTTTAGAATGACGAAGGATGAGAGATGACTTGATAGAGGTGTACAAAATGATCAAAGGTATAGAGAGAGTGGATAGCCAGAGACTTTTTCCTCGGATGGAGGTAGCTTTTACGAGGGGGCATAGTTTTAAAGTGAGTGGAGGTAGATATAGGGGAGACATAAGAGGTAGATTCTTTACTCAGAGAGTGGTAGGGGCATGGAATGCATTGCCAGAGAGGGTAGTGGAGTCAGCCTCATTAGGGGCATTTAAGCAGCCATAAGATAGGCATATGGATGATAGTAAAGGTAGGGGTGGAGGTTAGATAGACTTTAGGTTTAGGGTAAAATTTCGGCACAACATCGTGGACCGAATGGCCTGTACTGTGCTGTACTGTTCTGTGTTCTATGTTCTATCAGGAACTTACACAACGCTACACATTTTACCAAGATAACTGATAGAGGCTAATTGAGGAAAATTGCAGTTTAATATGCATTTCTTTAAAGATTATCTGTAATTTAAATTGCTAAGACTACAGCAGCTGTTTAATTAATATAGACAGCAAGTTTTCTTTCACTTTCCTCTTGCTCTTAGACACAGACCACTCTGCCTTGCTCTTGCATTTCTCTGTCTCCCTCTCTATTTTTATATAATATCAGGCTGCCATGAATATTACAGAGAATAGCACTCAATGGCTTCAATTTTCACAACCATGGATTGCCTCTTCATTAGTACAAAACTGGCAGAGGAGGCCAAATACTGGAAGTCCAAGCTCAATACCATATTAATGGAAGTAGGAATGGAGACAGTTTGCATTTTGCACATGCTAATTTTTTTGTGTGCAAAGTATACCTGGTAGGAGCAGGTTTTAACATTTTGGATACATAGGGTATCCACTTGGAGAGGTAAGGTACACTTTGGGGTTGCGATAATAAGCATGCACTCTGTGGAGCTCCAACAGTATAATCAGTAAGAAGGTCTGTGATACAATTAAAGAAATCAGCATAGACAGAGAGAAGGTTCTGACGGTCTTCAGGCTTAAAAGTAGCTAGGTATCCAGGGATGGATAAATGTATCCGAGCTTATTGCATGGGGCATGGGAGGAAATAACAGGGGCACTTGCAAAAATTTAATTCCTCTCAGGCCATAGTAGAGGTACTGGAGGACTGGAGAACAGGCAATGGGGTATTCTAGAAGGGAGCATATCTAACTTTAGTGGTGGGGAAACCATTGGAAGCAATTCTGAGGGACAAATTAATCTGCATTTGGAGAGGCAGGGATTAATCAAAGACAGTTAGCATGGTTTTGTAAAAGGGGAATCATGTCTGACCAATTTGATTGAATTTTTCAAGGAGGTGACCAGTTGTGTAGGTGAGGGCAATGTTTTTGATCTAGTCTGCTTGGACTCAAGTGAAGCTTTTGTTAGGGCCCAGATATAAGACTAATAGTGAAGTTAAGTTGGGATTCAAGGAAATTTGCGAAATTGGATCCATGATTGGCTGACTGGCAAGAAGCAGAGGAAGATGGTTGAGGGATTTTTTTCCAACTGGATGTCTGTGTACGCTGGAGTTAAGACCTATGTCTTAAATGGGCAACCCCTTAATTTTAACCTATAATTATTTAAATTATTGGCAAAGATCTGTAGCTAGGGTTGTGGATGAGGTTGTTGACTTGCTCGCCGATCTGGCTTGTTTTTGTTCAGACATTTTGTTTCCATGCTAGGTGACATCATGAGTGGAGCCTCCGATGAAGCAACATTATTCTACTCCGCTTGGAATTTATACTGTGCATCAAGGACATATCAGAACTGACAACAAGACTCCTAAGACCACGAGGAATCATGGTGGCCCACAAACCCACAGCCACTCTACGACAAACACTCACAAGGATTAAAGACCCCATTCCCACAACATGCAGAACCAATGTGGTTTACAAAATACCATGCAACAACTGCCATAAACATTACAAGGACAGACAGGAAGGAAACTAGCCATCAGAATGCATGAATATCAGCTAGCAGCAAAATGGCATGACGAACTCTCCTCAATATCGATACATTCAAACAATGAAGGCCATCAGTTTGACTCGGACAAAATAACCATAGTAGGGCAAGTCAAACATAGACATGCACGGAATTCCTGGAGGCATGATTCTCCACCCATACTTCAATCAACAAACATATAGAATTGGACCCCATATACAAACCCATACAGATCAAAACCAGAAATGACAGTACTCACCATAACGGACCACACAGTATAAATTCCAAGCAGAGTAGAATAACATTGCTTCGTCGGAGGCTCCACTGATGATGTCACCTAACATGGTGACGAAACGTTTGAACAAAAACAAGCCAGCTCGGCGAGCAAGTCAACAACCTTTAACCTATAATTCATAGTTCTAAACTCTCCCACAAGATGAAGCATCTTTTCAACATCCACCTAAGCAAATCTCCTCAGAATCGTACATTTCAATTAAGTCACATCTGACTCTTCTAAACTCAGGGGACACAGGCGTGGCCTGACTAGCCTTTCCCCATAAGGCAATCTGCTCATTCCAGGTAATAGTTTAATAAACCTCTGAACTGCTCCCATCGTATTAAGATCCTTCCATAAGTATGGTGACCAGTGCTGTAAACAGCATTCCAGATGCAGTCTTATCAATACACAGTGTAGCTGAAGCATAAACTTCCTACTCTTGCATTCAATTCCCATCACAATAAGCCATAACATTCTATTAGATGTCGTGATTACTTGCTGTACCTATATATTCAACTTCTGTGATTCATGCACTCGGACCCCCAGATCCCTCTGCATCTCAGAGCTCTGCAACATCTCACCAATTAGATAATATGCTTCTTCTTTATTCTTTCTGCCAAAATGGATGAATTCACACTTCCCCACACTATGCTTCATATTGCCAGATCTTTGCCCACCCACTATATCCCTTTGTAGGCTCCTTATGTCATTTTCACAACTCACTTTCCTACCTATCTGTCTCACAGATTTACAGTTCTGAGTGGTTATAAATTCTTTGAGGCAGAACTGTGAATTCTGTTCCTTTTATTCAGGTTTTAGGGGAAATTTAATGTCGAGATTTTCATTCATGGGAATGATTTTGTTAAACAGTGAAATCTTCAATAGAGACTGAAGAACTTTATTTTATCTCATCTCATGAGGTATGCCCATGATAGACGGTGGGTGTGTTGGCATGGTAGGTGTAAGGGCAAAATGTGATTGGTTCATAGGAACAGAGTAGCTATTCAGCACATTTAGCCTGCCCTGCATTCCAGATCATGTCTGATCATTTTCTAATTGCCATTTTCCTGAACTGTTTCCATATCCCCTAATGCTGTTAGGTTGCAGAAAACTACTTATTTCTGCCTGGAACCTGCTCAGTGATTGAAGTTCGTCAGCCCTCCAGGTCAGTTAATTCCAAAGATTCACCACCTTCTGGTTGGTGAGACTATGAGTTGGCACTAAGTTGACACAGTCCCAGTAGTGGGTCATTAGGTTGAGTAAAAGGGAATAGGTTGGCAGCGTGGGTATGAGAGGGATGGCTGCTCGATAGCATGGTGGGACATAGGAGGTTGTTTTGAAGGGATGAAGAGTGTTGCTCCCAAGAGACTTCACATGACTGGGGATTGCCTGTCCTGATTCCCGTAACACCCAGTCAAGCCAAAATGAAAATCTCAACTGCCATTGTTTAAAAAGGGCAGCAGAGATAATCCTGGAAATTACGGGACTGTGAACCCCTCAACAGTGGTAGGGAAGTTATTGGAAAAGATTCTCAGGGACAAGATCTGTAAGCATTTGGAAGCAAATAGACTGATTAGCAATAAACAGCATGGTTTTGTGCGAGGAAGGTCATACCTCACTAACTTGATCGAGGTTTTTGAGGAGGTGATGAGGATGATTGGTGAGGGAAAAGCAGTTGATGTTGTCTCTGTGGATTTCAGTAAAGCCTTTCACAAGGTCCCTCATGTCAGACTGGTACAAACGTTGAAGTCACCTGATATCAGGAGTGAGCTTGCAAAATGAATACAGAATTGACTTAGTCGGAGGATATAGGGTAGCGCTGGAAGGATGCTTTTCGGATTGAAAGGTTTTGACTAGTGAGGTTCCATAGGGATCAGTGCTGGGATCTCTGCTGTTCATAATCTACGTAAATGATTTGGAGCAAAATATAGCTGGTCTAATTAGTAAGTTTGCGGATGATACAAAGATTGGTGGAGTTGCGCAAAATGAGATCTTATATATAAATTTAGAAGAATAGGACTCTGTATGTATTCTAGAGGATTAAAACCTCTGTATGAAATAGGGGATCCTATTAAAACTCAGAGCAAGAAAGAACATTCAATAAAATCCTCATAGATCTGATTCTGAGAATGTGATAAAGACCTGGCCACTGGAACAGCCATTCTGGAGGAAATGATTTCCTTCTCTTCCAGAAATCCCATGATTCTATGATTTACTTTCCAGAATAATATATTTTTAAAAGGTCTGACTTTTCCAAAATATTGCTGAGTGCTTTGTATATTTTGTTTTCCTGCAGCAGCTGCAAATGTCTGCAATGTGGTGCTGATGAGACACAATGAGCTAGAGGAAGGGATCTCAGTGTTGGACATGGATGGAAATGTGATTGGATCTTCGAGGATCGCTGCCAGACATGTGTGTGTTTGACTCTGATTTTGTTTTGTTGCCTTTTGGTATTTACCCTCACTGTTGCTACAAGATTATTTTAATTGGCTGCCAAATCTGCCCTTTTGCATGTCAAAATTTCCCTCAACCCCATAATTGCCAGCTGTAACGTCAATTGCTTCTATCTTAAAATCTTTCTGAACTTCTCTAATGCCTACCCTTAGCTACACAGGATGGCATGCGGCTGATTTCCTAGGTAGGCAGGAAGAGCATCAGGGTTTGCCTATAGGAGTGCCCTCTTGCTCTTCCCTTCCCCTGACCAGGAACAAATCTTGAGGCACTTAAACTGTCCTCTAGTTTGGTCAGTTTAATGATGACAAAGGTGTCGTCCACGTAGTGTATCCATAGTTTTGGTTGGATTAGCGGAAGGGCCGTCCTTTCTAGTCTTTGCATCACTGCCTCTGCTATGAGTCCGGAGGTGGATGATCCCATGGGTGTCCCGTAGATTTGTTCATATGTTTGGCCGTTGATCATTAAACGGACTAAGCCAGAGGAGACACACAAACTCATAAACAACATCCTCACCGGAATAAAATTCACCAGAGAGGAGGAGAAGAACAAACAGCTCCCATTCCTGGACGTCATGGCAGAGCACAAGACAGGGGAACTCCAAACGAAAGTATACAGAGAAGCCACACACATGGACCAGGTACTGAACTTCAACAGTAACCATACCAGCACACACAAACGAAGCTGCGTGCGAACACTATTTAAACAGGCAACAACACACTGCAGCAACACGGACCTACGCCAAGAGGAAGAAGAATACCTCTTCCAGGTTTTCAAGGATAATGGATATCTAAAAAACTGGGTCAGAAGATGCCTACACGAACAACATCAGGAAGATACTACACGCCTCGACACACTCATCACACTACCCTACATCAGGAACACATCGGAACTAACCACAAGACTCTTACGACCGCTGGGCATCAGAGTGGCACACAAGCCCACATCAACCCTACGACGACTGCTCACCTGAACTAAATACGCACTCCCCGCCTTGGACAGGACCAATGTCATCTACAAGGTCCCCTGCAGAGACTGTGAGAAATACTACATCAGACAAACAGGAAGGAAACAAACAACAAGGGTACACAAACACCAACTGGCTACAAAAAGACACAACCAATACTCACTCATCTCAATCCACATGGATAAGGAGAACCACCAATTCGACTAGGACAACACCAAAATCCTGGGACAAGCTAAGCAGAGACAGGTAAGGGAATTCCTAGAAGCCTGGCACTGCACAAAGCATGCCATTAATAAACACATAGAACTCGACCCCATATACACTCCACTACGAAGGAAAACCGGAAGTGAGGCGATCCAGCTCAACAGACTCCAGAGTTTAAAAACCAGGGGGGAAAACACACCGATGCTTCATCGGAGGCTGCACTGAGGATGTTACCCAGCACGGTAATGAAACGTCTGCGGAACAACAAACCAGCTCGGCGAGCTAACCAACCTCAACACCCACAACCTGAGCTACAAATCTACTCCAAAACCTTAGAATGTAAGGTATTTAATGAGGCTAATTGGCTACATGACACTTGGGTCAGAGTTGTCCTGCTAGTCCTGATTGAGTTGCCAGTAAGCAACAGTTTGAGTCATACCTGGCACATTAGCAGATGGTTATGGTTGTATGAAGACAGTCATCTCCATTCTAGGACATCTCTGCAGGAGTTCCTCAGTGTTCTGTCCTTTGCCCAATCATCTTGAGTTGCCCCATCAATGACCTTCCCTCGAACATAAGGTCAGAAGAGGGGATGTTCGCTGATGATTGCACAATGTTCAGCTGCATTCATGACTCCTGAATATTGAAGCAGTCAAAACTGAAGCAGTCCCTGTCCAAATGCAACAAGATCTGGACAATATTCACGCTTGGGCTGAAAAGTGATAAGTAACATTCGCATCACACAAATGCCAGGCAATGACCATCTTCAATAAGAGACAATCTAGTCACCGCCCCTTGATGTTCTATCACTGAATCCCCCATTATCAACATCCTTGGGTTACATTTGAACAGAAACTTAACTGGACCCACCACATAAACACTGTGTCTATAAGAGCAGGTTAGAGGCTCGGAATACTGCGGTGAGTAACGCACCTCCTGACTCCTCAAAGCCTGTCCACCATCTACAAGGCACAAGTCAGGACTGTGATGGAATACTCCCCACTTGCCTGGATGAGTGCAGCCCCAACAACACTCAAGAAGCTTGACACCATCCAGGACAAAGCAGCCCACTTGATTGGCACCACATCCACAAGCATCCACTCCCTCCACCACCGACACTCAGTAGCAGCAGTGTGTACTATCTACAAGACGCACTGCAGAACTTCACCAAAGATCCTTCGACAGCACCTTCTAAACCCACAACCACTTCCATCTAGAAGGACAAATACAGTAAATACTTGGGAAAACCACTACTTACAAGTGTCCCCCCGAAGCCACTCCTTCACTGTCGCTTAGTCAAAATTGTAGAATTGCATCAGCAACCGTGTTACTATACCCAGAACTTGAAGTCAACCTTATAGAGACATTGCAGAAGCCTTGGAGCCTTGTTTGGGATACCGGTCGATGAAGATGCAGTCTACTTAAGTACTTTCTATTTATTCTTTCGTATCGTAAAATGCACCAGATTATGGCAACAAAACATTGTTCCTCTATTTCCGTAGATATATGGGGCAATAAACATCATTCATTCATACCTAAGGGCATTGTGGGTCAATCTAACCACCAACTTCTCATGGGCCGCTAGGGATGAGCCATAAAGGCTGGCCCAACAAACAATGCCTACGTCCCAAAAGTGAAAAGAAAAAAAGTCTTTATTTTGATTCCTTTCCTTGTCTCTATTTTGTTGAACTTTCTGGCTAAACTGCAAACACCTTTGTGTTCTAACTTTGTTCATATTACTGAAATCTGAATGGGAACTATATTTACAAGGAGCATAATACATTATCCCTGATATTCACTGCATTCAAGTGGATGAATGGGAGTGAACGCTCCTCAAGCAATTTCTCAAAATCTAGTCTGCGCTGTATTTCAGAACTCCCCCTGGGACCTGATCATTTCCCTCCTATGCTGACATGGCTTCAAAACTGTGAAGGTTTTTGCCTTCATTAGTGTTTCCAGGTGCGTTATCCAGTGGTCCATGACTTCAGCAGTCCCTAAAGAATGTGTTCAGCTGCCCCCACCATTTTCTGCACAAAGAAAGTAGATTAATAACATGAATAAATTAACTACACAAAGTTATAGTTTGAGAATAGTGCAATCGTTTTTTTTTAAATAGCACAAGTTTAGAGGCTAAACATTATTAAATGCTGGAAACATTTTATCAAGCTGATCAAATTGGGAAATAATAATGAAGCCTTGATATCTTGCTGTGGTGGATTCTATCGCAAGATCATTGATCTGAGCCATACATTCTAGTTTCCACAGAAACTGCATGATCTTCTAAGTGTTTCCAGCATTTTATGATTTGTTTCAGACTTACAACATCTACATTATTTCACTTTGTGTTTCCCAACTTACAGTTCCAGCTGAGGAGGAGAGAAGACAACAGAGAGGAAGGAAGGCAGCAAAGCAGGAGGTGAAGCAGGGACTATTGCAGAACAGAAAAGAGAAACCAGAATCAGCCAGCCATCTGACCCATAGCTAGCTAACCAGTCCAGAACCCAAAGGCTAGTGAGCCATCCAGCCAGCCCACAACCACCAAAGAACTAATGTTCAGGACTATTAGTAACCAACCAGGTTGCTCGAGAGCCCCAGTTTATGGTGAGCTGAGTGATGAGGTCATTAACTAAAGGAGAAACAGTAGCAGAGCTGAGCAGAGAGTTGGTAGGAAAGATAAGAGAGTTGAATAAATTTGTATCTAATCAATGATACAACAGTTAATGATTATGGAGACTCACTCAGTGATGCCCAGGATTGTCCTTGTAACTAAAGGATGTACAGTAAAAAGATCTTTCCAGTATTCTGTTTCAGGGTCCCTGTTACTCCTGATGGAAGTTACTGTTCAGGATTTTCAATTCTGCTTGGATATACTAGGGGATTAATATCACATTACTGACATCCTCAGGTAGCATGGTGGCTCAGCGGTTAGCACTGTTGCCTGACAGTGTCAGGGACCTAGGTTTGATTCTGTCCTAGGATAACTGTGTGGAGTTTGCATGTTTTCTCCGTGTCTGTATTGTTTCTGCCAGGTGTTCCAGTTTCCTCCCACAGTCCAAAGATGTCCAGGTTAGGTGAATTGGCCATGCTAAATTGTGTTATGGACCAGACTAAACCCTCTCAAAATATATTAAGAAGATAAGCTAGAGCCTGACTTTTCCTGATTTTAAGGGCAAGTGCCAGGCGTTGCATTCAGGATGCAATTCAATTGGTCTAACTACCAGTCTTGAAGCAAAGCATACTTTATTCATACACTATAGTTAAAAGACAAGGAGAGAAAGAAGAAATCAGAATAACTTAACTCCGTTGGAAAACTTTACAGAATAATAGATTAATTAACCACTAAACATCCCATACAGTAACATCCCATAAATACACCCTTTGCAAAGGCAAATTCAGCACAATAGATTATCTCACATGCAGTTCTCCAGTCCAGGAGAAAAAAACACCAAAGGAAAACTCTGAGAGAGAGAGTAGCAAGGAGAGATGTACTGCAGCTTCTAAACCCAGCTTCAAGACCCCAGCAACAACTGCTACTGCAAAACTAAAACTAAAAATCCTGGCTCTGTGGGAGCTTGACCCCACCCATTCAGGCTGCTTCTATTGTTCCAATTTTTAAAAAAATACACAAGGCCTCACAAGCAGTTTACTTTGTTGAATTCAAATATACAGCTGGTAAATGAATAAACTAGTTCCACCTGGCCCATATCCCTCCAAATCTTCCCCATTCATGTTCTTATCTAAGTGTTTTCTAAATGTTGTAACTGTGCCCGCATCGATCACTTCCTCAGGAAGTTCATTCCACACACGAACAACCCTCTGTGTAAAAAAACTTGCCCCTCATACCTTTTTAAAATCTTTCTCCTCTCACCTTAAAAATATGCCCACTAGTCTTGAAATCCCCCAAACTAGGGAAACAATATCTATGCACCTCTTGATTTTATTAACTTCAATAAGGTCACCCCTCAACCTACATGCCAGTGGAAAAAGTATCCCAGTCTCTCCTTATAACTTAAACCCTCCAGACCTGGTGACATCCTTGTTAATGTTTTCTGCACCCTTTCCAAATTAATAATATCCTTCCTATTGCAGGGCGACCAGAACTGTAAGCATTACTCCAAAGATGGCCTCACTAATGTCCTGTACAACCGCAACATGACATCCCATCTCTTATACTCAATGCTCTGAACAATGAAGGCTAGCGTGCCAAATGCCTTCTTCACTACCCTGTCTCCTTTTTTGAAAAAAGGAGGAAGGGATTAACTAGTCATCCAAATCTCATTGGTGGGCAAATTACTTTTTAAGAAGTTTGAAAGACAATACAAATCACCACTTAGAAAGGCATGGTTAAAGGAGGAGAAATTTAAAATTATGAGGTACCTAAATAGAGTATCTAGGAAGGATCCATTTCTGTTAGCAGAGAGGTCGGTAACCAAAGACATGCTTATTAAGTAATTGGTGGAAGAATTATGGAAGAATTGAGGAGTAATCATTTTCATGCAGAAATAATTGGGTCTGGAACTTTGCTTTCAGTTTAAAAGAGCAAAGGAAGCTTTATTCCGTATCACATCCCGTGTTGTCTCTGTCCTGGAACCTTTCTTCACTGGAGCGTAGGAGACTGATATTGACCTTATTGAGGTTCATAAAAGCACAAGGGACATAGATAAGATATATAACAAAGGTCTTTTCTGTAGGGTAGTGGACAGTGTGCAGATGGTTTACTTTCAGTTTAAAGCGTAGAGAAAGCTTTACACTGTATTTAACCCTGTGTTCGCCTTGCCCCAGGAGCGTTTGATACGGACAGTGTACAGAGAGCTTTACTTTCCATTTAGAAGAGTAGAAGGAACTTTATTTCCCATTTAAAGAGTGAAGAAAGCTGTACTCTGTATCTAACACCCTGTGCTGTACTTGTCCTGGGAGTGTTTGATAAGGTCAGTGTAGAAGAAGATTTACTTTGTATCTAACCCCTTGCTATCCCTATCCCGGCAGTGTTTGATGGGGACCGTGTAGAGGCAGCATTACGCTGTATCTAATGCTGCATTGTATCTGTCCTGGGAGTGTTGAATGCGAACGGTGTAGAGGAAGCTTTTCTTTCAGTTTAAAAGGGTAGACGGAGCTTCACTCTGTAACTAACCTGTGACTGTGTCCTAGGAATATTTGATGAGGACAGTATACAGAGAGCTTCCCCTTCCATTTAGACATCAACTTTCAAAAGTTGACTGGGGGAGTCTGTTCGTGAGTTCCCACTTGATGTCTGGCAAGTGGGAGGCTTTCAAAAGTAAGACGACGAGAATTCAGGGACAGCATGTTCCTGCTAGTGTGAAGGGCAAAGCTGGCAGAAGTAGGAACACTGGATGGCCAGAGATATGGAGGCTCTCGTCAAGAAAACAAAGGAGGCATACGTCTGGTACAAATAGCTGGGATCAAGTGAGCAGTATAGGGGGTGTAGGGCTACACTTAAGTGGGAAATCAGTGAGGCGAAAAGCGACATGCAATAGTTTTGGTAGATAAGTTCAAAACCCAAAGAGAGTCAGCAAGTATATTAAGGACAAAAGAGCAACTAAGGAGAGAGTAGAGCCCCTTAAAGATTAACGAGGCCATCTACATGTGTAACTACAGGAGATGGGTGAGATCCTAAACATATATTTCTCATCAGGGAGGTGATGGCCTAGTGGTATTATCACTGGACTGTTAATCCAGAGACCCAGATAACGTTCTGGGGGCTTGGGTTTGAATCCTGCCACGGCAGATGGTGGAACTGAATTCAATAAAATATCTGGAGTTAAGAATCTGTTGATGACTATGAATCTGTTGTCGATTGTCAGGAAAAACAATCGGTTCACTAATGCCCTTTCGGGAAGGAAACTGCCATCCTTACCTGGCCTATCACCCACATGTGACTGCAGACCTGCAGCAATGTGGTTGATTTTGAACTGCCCTCTGGGCAATTAGGGATGGGCAATAAATCCTGCCTGACCAGCAATGCCATCGTCCTGTTAATGAATAAAGAAGGAAGGAAAAAAGTACTTACTGTGGAGAAAGACATGGAAACTGGCACAAAGGTAGATAAAGCCCCAGGACTTGATCGGGGTGGCATGGTAGGTCAGTAGTTAGCAGAACTGCCTCACAACGCCAGGGACCATGGGTTCAATTCCAGCCTCGGGTGGAGTTTGCACATTCTCCCAATGTCTGCTTGGGTTTCCTCTCACAGTCCAACGATGTGCAGTTTAGGTAGATTGGCCATGCTAAATTTGCCCTTGGTGTTCAGGGACATGCAGTCTAGGTAGATTAGCCATTAGAAATGCGAGGTTACAGGTATAGTGTAGGGGGCTGGGTGGGATCGGTATGGGCTGAATGGCCTGTGTCCACACTGTACGGATATGATGAACTTTACTCTTCATGTAGTGCTTTACCTGGTCAGGGAGTATTTGCTAGACACTGGGTGGCTGAAATGGGCGCTTCTTCAGTGCTGATATGCCCATATAATGTGCCACAAATTCAGAGTTGAAGGGGAAGGTCCAGTTGGCAGTGCAATTTTTAGATCAGGAAATTAATCACAAATAGCCTGCATTGTCCGCGCAGCAGCATATATTTCACACCAAGCTTCAAGGGAGTGTCGGTATAGTGATTGCAATTATGTTTGTATGTTTTTCCAGGCACTGATGGAGACTGCCTTGACGAGAATAGCCCTCCCTATTCCTATCTTGGTGCTGCCCCCAATTGTTATGTCACTACTGGAAAAGTAAGTGTTGAGATCAAGTCCATTTCAATTGTTTCTGTAACTCATTGTTCACCAACTTTTGTTGGAGTTCCGAATCCTCCAGCACCCTATGCATTGGTCTAGATGATGGCCCAGAACTTTTCCAGAGCTGCTACTCCTCCATCGAATTGAGCAACAAAAGCTTTCACCAATCTAGAATTTTTGTTTCAGCCTTTTGAGTGTAAGCAAGGTGTGAGCCAGGTTGCAGTGGCACTTTCCTGGAGATGAATCAGAAGGCCAGCGACATAGGTGGAGAACATTTCTGCTGCTGCAGTGCTGGATGTCATCCAAGTCGTCTGTTCTGAACCAGTAGAGGAATTAGGAGAGGTGATGGTAAGGTTGAGTTGGACGTCTTCAGTGAAAATGAATGCTGTATTTTCAGATGATATCTGTTAGAGGCAACATGTACATAAGAAACAGAGAGTCAAGGACGGATCAGTGGTGGACATCAAAGATAACTGTGCATGAAAACGTTGCGGGTGATTCTCTAAATATGACTAGTTATGATGTGCAGGTGCCAATGTTGGACTGGGGCGGACAAAGGCAGAAGTCACACAACACCAAGTTCTATTCCAACAGGAACAAAAACTAAGTTGCTGGAAAAGCTCAGCAGGTCTGGCAGCATCTGTGGAGGAGAAAACAGAGTTAACGTTTCGGGTCCGGTTACCCTTCCTCAGAACTGATGGTGGCTGGGAAAATTTCACTTTATATGCAGAAAATAGGGAGGTGGGTGAGATTGGGAGTAAACGATAGGATAGAGCCCAAAGAGAGAGAAAGACAGTTGGACAGACAAAG